CCCAAAACTCCTAAAATGAACACGGCACGGTTACCCTGGCAAAGCTCCATTTCAGTCCACTAGGGATTAAACTTGAAACCCCGCCACACCGAGAGGGAACGGCCCAGTTCAAAAGGGGCTTTTTCACCGTGCAGACCAGCCGAGAAAGGATTTGCTGCCCTGTGAAACATCGGTTTTCCTGCTACTGAACGTCCTACTTGGAAGAAAAACAGGCAGAGCGTGAACTTGACCCTTCCGCAGGACAGTCCCAGGCCAGCAGCAGGGGCTGGTGACCCACGCTGAAGGGCTTCAGTTCCCCCAGGTGACCGTTCACAGCATCGCAGGCTCGGGTAGGTTGGAAAAGACCCTTGAGACCATCGAGTCCAACCATTAACCCGGCACTGCCAAGTCCACCACTAAACCATGTCCTCGAGCACCACATCTACCCGTCTTTTAAATACCTCCAGGGATGGAGGCTCAACCACTTCCCTGGGCAGCCTGGTCCAATGCCTGACCACCCTTTTGGTGAAGAAGTTTTTCCTAATATCCAACCTAAACTTCCCCTGGCGCAGCTTGAGGCCGTTTCCTCTCATTTTATCGCTTGTTACTAGGGAGAAGAGACCAACCCCCACCTCGCTACAGCCTCCTTTCAGGTAGTTGTAGAGAGCAATCAGGTCTCCCCTCAGCCTCCTCTTCTCCAGACTAAACAACCCCAGCTCCCTCAGCTGCTCCTCATAAGACTTGTGCTCCAGACCCTTCACCAGCTTCATGCTCTGCTCGGGGTTTGAGCAGGTGGAACCACCACCCTGCCCGTCCGCAGCCACGCGGTCTGGGCAGGAACACGAAGCCAACTGCGGCCAGAAGGCTCTTCCAGCCACTGGCAGCAGCAGGTGACAGCGAGGGACAGCTGACAGTTTGCCCCCAAAGCGGGGAAACCTCTCTCCCAGAAAAGGGTCACGCCCTTTAGCTTGACTTAGTCAGAACTTACTGTGTGAACAATATCGGTCTCATGGAGCTTGGAAACAACTTTGTGGCTCCAACAAACTTCTTAGCTGTGGGATCGCGCTCCAGCCACTGCGCATCATGGCTGTGCAAAAAGGACATACCCACAAGCAAGGAAAAGTCTCCCCCCACCAACTGGGCTCTGACCCCCACTAATTCCATCTTAACCCAGTACAAGTCAGAAGCAGAAGGACTCAGAAACAAAGGGAGGGTGTTTCCATGGGAACTCTGAATATTTAATATGGAAAATTACAGAACATCAACACGTTTTTTGCGTGGCTGCGCATCTTCCATGAGAACAGGCGCGATGACAGGCTGACGCTCGGTCGCTGCCAGGAAGCCGTTTCGTTTGTACTTGGTGTGGAGAATGAACGGGCAGGAAGCGGCACTGGGAATCCAGGAACCGCCGAGACGGGCTGTGGAAGCAGATGGGCAATCACGCCCGCCTTCACTTCAGGTTCTTAAAGAGTTTGTGAGCAACCTGAAAAGAGACAGAGCATTCGGTAACTCACGGTTTAGGGATGGAAATCAGGAGGGTGTTACCACCCACCTCTTCGTTTTCCAGGCCACTAACACACACGGCCCCGCAGCCCTCCGCTCGTCTCATCGTTTTGCAACGAGTCATTCAAGAAAACTAACAAGCTGACATTTCTTACAAAGTTTCACTTCAGGTTAAAAAGGTTTAACTTTAAAATGGCAAATACGACACTGAAAGAGCAAAGTGTCATTTGCTGGGCAGAAGCAATGTGTTTGACTTATTTAATCGTTTAGTAACCTACCAAATCCCAGCTGGAACTGTTGTAACAAGGAGGAACCAAACATTTAACAGGAAAAAGGATCAAGGCTCACAGTTCTTCGGAGCTTACTGCGACTGAACAGCTACCACATCCCATGCTTGAATTGTCTGCGCTCTCAGAAGCGCAGCTAAAGGCAGCTCTGCTCCCAGCACCAGCAGGGAGGCCGCATCCCCGGGTGCTGCACTTACGCAGTGGTCCCTGGCATGCAGGAAGTCAAAAAGCTCCTCTGTGCACTGCTCCTCCGTCTGGGACCTGGAGGACACCCGCGCGTCGCACAGCTCCAGCCGCTCCCGCGCCTTCACGCATTTCTCCGTCTGCTCGCAGTGCTCACGGACCGTGGTTAAAGGATCCTGCAGACACGGGGCTGCTGTCAGAACAGGGAGACCCCGAAACGCCGTTCTCCCCCGAGGCCCTTGCTTTGACAGGGAGCCATACATCCACGCCGAAGCCCGGATTCACGCCGCCTCCCCGCTAAGCTTTGGATCGCAGCACAAAGCGGCGACGGCGGCCCCAGCCCCTAGCAATTTGTCTGTCAGTGCTGGAAGGCACCAGGCCTCTTCCCCTGGGAGCAACGAGCCGCTGCGGAGGCTACGGGTGTCCCCCGCCGCCGCCGAGGGCTGCCAGCTCCCCGGACACGGGGCGGCCCC